CCTAGTCCTACTATTCTCACTGTTAAGTATGAAAAAAGATGATGCATCAATACTATCAATTCCCTTTACAATTTTAAACACCTGAATGAGATCCCCCTAACTAATGATCATATAAACTGAAAAAAACATTTTACAGAAGAAAAATAAACAGAACTAAGTGACAGAAAACTACAAAAAATCTGTTTACAGCAGGAAAAGCTTTTTTCAATAAAAAATACCATATAATGGTCTCATTAGGCTTCTCTATCTTAAATAAGGATACAATATATTTAGTCCAAAAATAAAATAAGAACAAATTAGTTAACTGAAACAATGATGTTTAATGTTACATATGTTTAGTAAAATTAAATTTATGTTTTGAGATTTTGTTATTGAAATAAAATATACATATGCATAAGTAAGATTCTTCATGTATTTTACATGCACCTTCATTCAGCATTTAAGCACGTTACCATAAGTTCTCTCATTATCTTGCTGCTTGCAACTCTAAACTACTACACACAACACTAAAAGATCCACTACAGAAGGAAGGTTAAATAGTTGAACTACTAATTGATGTACTTGTTCAATGCACAAGGAAGACATAAAGTGGCCAGATCCAGTCATGATGGGAAAAAGATCATTTCCCAAGGGGCCCTAAGGGTATGTGCAAAGTACTGTGGCAATCCATCCACACACACACACAGACTTTTGTCAAGTAATGATTTAGAAATACCATTGTCACAGGCATAACAAGACTGGATGATCTATATCATATAGTGTCATATAAGCCTATATGTATCACTGCACTGTTTATCATGTAATTCATTGTAATTCTATCCACCACATGAAAGTGCACATTCTCTGTTCATAGCGGAATTTGATATTATATATACACACACACACACATATAATGTATCATTTTTAGAATATGTATATACAAATGTACATGTGTTACATTCTTATTTGTTTAATGTCAATGTCACTATTTATATACCATGCACAAAGTTATGTAAATATCATATATCAGACCTTTCATTAAATATACACTAATTATACTGATTGAGAATGAGTACATCTATTTTTGTAACCACACTAATGAAGACTGTTACCTGTCAGCCAATTTAATCATTTATTTTATTTAACAATTCTCCTATGTGGTTTAACTATTATTAATCACAGAATTAATACTAATATCCAATCATAGCAAACTACCAAAACTAGCAATCAAACTTGTAATAAGCAGAGCTAGTTAATACTTATAAAGATTAGAATACATTGTTCAATGTTCAAAAGAGTTTCTCACCATTAGAATGGCTATGTGACAATTTGCAAACAGAAAGAGTAAATACACTGGTAGCTAGTGCTCACTTTTAAGCAATTACAAACATTTTAACAAATTTATCATGACCAGTCATTTAAATGATATGTATGCCCATGCAATAACTTTTACACTAATTTGGTTGTTACAAAGTAATTTCCTGAAATTGGTATAAGTGTTTTTAGTTTTCAATATTTTATTGTCTTGTGGTTGTTACTTGGCTCTAACATTAAAGAAAGACAAAAAGAATACGCACAACAAACTCTTGTTGTTTTACAACTAAGCTTAACAAAGGGTGTTTGACTGTAACAAATTAAAAAGAAAGGTAATAATAATGATTTTTTGTTATGGGTGTGTTTTACCTGATACTATAATAGCTTTTATATACAACTTTTTTTTCTGTGGTGTTAATTGGCTAAAATTTAATACTAATTTAGAATGTGTTATTTATTTACCATTCCTTCATAAGTATCATTGTTGTAAGTCAAAAAGGGTAAAGGTCCTAACATTGAGCTCCGAGATACCCCACTTCTGACATTAATCCAATAAGAATGAACTCCATTTATAACAACCCTATTCTTTCTTCTACTTGTCTATCTAGTAAGCCAATTTAACTTATCCCCAACACTTACAGAAATAAAATTTTTAACAAGCCTTTAATGTAGCACCTTGTAATTTATATATTCATTTAAAACTTTTTTGACTACATAAAACATAATTCTGGGAAACATGAATGTGCTACACTTTGCAATCATTTTAGTTTATAGTTAATGATGCACTTTTAGGTTTAAAACTACATCACACACATGAGCACAGGCAGCTAATTTCTGGATTTAGCTTTTTCACAAGAGGTGGGTTAGATTCAAAATTTGTTTTAAAGTATCAACATGAAAAAAATTTAGACATGGATGTCATTACACAGAAGTTTCAGCATAAGCACTTCTGACCTTGAGGGTCCTGAGTGCAGACAATGATGATGACAAAACCTTGTCAAAACGTTGTACATTTGCTGTTATGTTAAACTTATATTAACGTTTTTCTTCATTACCCATTCAAGCCATCTCCAGCCATTATTAGTCTCAAAGTGGGTTCCTCATCATCGAATTTTAATTTTTAATGGTTCTGAAGATTTAAGTATCAGTGAACCCTGAAGAACAACTAATATAACTGAATCTTAAATGCTGCTTTATTAGATATTACTCAATGAAAGAATTACAAAAGAAATGAATAAGTGAAAAAACTTAAAACTTCCAACATGACTGCTCTACCAAAACTATTTCACAAAATAATAACATGTAATACCTTTTCATCCCATTCTGCCATGTAAGGAAGAAATTCTTTTTGAGCAAATTCTGTTGCAATTCTTTGCATCTGTATTTGCTCATCATTCAAACCCATGGATGCTGTCAGAGAAAATACATGATTTTCCTTTAAATATTCAATTTACATATATATATATATATATATATATATATATCTTACTAGTAAATTTAAAAATCCACAATTTTATTTTGATTTATTTACAGTAGAATTGTAAATTTATAATAAAACTTACACAAAGTAAACACTCCCATGCATAAATATATTCAACAACATGAATAAATATACTGGTTTTATGATTGTCTTTGTACTTCAAAACACTGTTAATTTCAAATGAAAAGATGAATTATGTCTTTACTGGTCTTAGTGCAAACTGCTGTTAATAAATGACTGAAAATGTACATGGTGGTCTGATGAACCACTTTACATCCTGTTTAGTACTAATAGTATGGTAAAGTGTGAAGAAAACCACAAGACATTTGACCTTACTTATACTGTTAAAACACAGCAATATTTTGGTAATGTTGTAATAGTATGATAAATGTTCTTATGACATGGATGGTGCTTTCTGATTTTTCAGAAAAACAAATAATGTCCAGAGTGTACCAGAACATTATTATAACTGATCTAACGTATCCTATAACAATAGATTTCAATAATTATAAACAAAGGCTTTTCTAATATCATACTAAAACAATCTACAGCACATGTGCTGTCCAACATTATTTCCAGGAACATGATAGTGATTTTGGCCATATTCTTTAACCACTACAATCTCAAAATCTCAATCCAATTGAGCAATTTTAGAATGAATCTGAACATCATATTTGTCATCATTTTGTTTTTTAACAGCCTTAAAACTATTTTTGTTCATACTGTTGAATTATGCTGTCAAATAATACATGTTCAAGCATGTTTTAGAGCCTTTTCCATGTTTTGTTCCAGTTGTTATTGTGGCAAAAGGTGGTTTCACTCAATGTCAGTAAATGTCCTAAACAAACTGGCCAGTCAGTATAATTATTTTTTGTAAAAATTTTTGACAGCTCATGAAAGTAAAAAAATATCGACAGTAAACTGATGAGAAAAGAAAATCTATCCTAAAATCATGCTGATGCTGATTATAAAACTTGAATTTAAGCTAATCTCATAAAAGATCCCTATAATATATTTTAATATCTTACCAAACAGTCAAACTGATAAACCTATAAATCTTCATATTTGCTCTAACTTATTATTTTTATAGTGTATTACATTAGCAACTAACTAATCACTGAGAATTTTCCAACTCTCCTATGACTTTTGAATTATAATTCTGTTAAAGCCTCCAACAGCTCTTTACTCATTATTATCTTGCATGTACATGTATATTGGTAAAGAAACTTCTAATTAATGAAAACAAATTAGCTTCCATGAACATGGATTTTATTACAGTGCCACAATTTGTACATGTAGAAATAAAGTATTTTGGAGGGTTTTTGGCTAAAAAATATCAAATTTGAATTGAAAGGATTTTATGCTTGCATTAACTACAAAAAGACAATAGAATATAAAGCCTTCTAAGCTGACTAATCTTTTAAAGGTGAGGAATAATTTTCTATACATTTTAATTATTGAAGAAAAAGCTATTTAAAAACTTCTTGAGAAAAGAGCTGTTTGACTTGAAGAAATTTACTTTAAAATCTTTAAGAAACTTAACCGAAGGTTTGTGGGAGTTCTAACTATTATTTTTCAGAAGTAATTTGACATTCAAAGAAATTTCTGATGATTGGAAGATTGCTAGTGTAACTTAGTTATATAAAGCAAGGATCTATGAAAGGTAAAGGAAATTAAAAGTCTACTTGTCTTCTGCTGTTTGTAATGTGTTAGAATCTGTATCATAAAATTCATTTCAAAAGTTGGCATTTGATTAATGATTCTCAGCATGAGTATTAAAAGGAATTTTTCTTCAGTGCTCAAATTGCAAATACTTAACAAGGAAAATTCTGTAAATATAATTTTACTCTAAAACATATGTGAATTTAATTACCTTACACATTAATCATTAATTAGGTCAAAATTATGATTTAATAATAACTTAGTATAAAACAAACATTAAGAGCAAACTAAAAACCAACAACTTTATCAATTGTTGATGGTATTAACATATGATACATGGAAAACAAGTACAAATGTAGTAGCTGCATTGAGGTTAAGTCAGTCAGGGAAGACTGACTCAAAAACATTCTCCCATGCTCATGATTTCGCTAACACAGGGAGTATACTAATACTTATCAATGAGAACAGCATTCCCTTCAATTAGAGCACCAGCTTTCATGCCCATATAGTATGTTGTAGCTTTTTGATAGGATTGCCCCTTTTTGGTGAGGACAACCAAAGTGATGGGGTATACTTAGGCTTTCAGGAAGCCTATGATAAGGTGCCTCACAAGAGATTAATTAGTATGCTTAATGCATATGTAATTGGTCAAAACAATACTTAGTGAAAAAAAACAAACATAAGATTTAAGAACAACAAAAGCCCTGTTGATTCATCCACTAAATTCAATTTTAAAATAAATGAAACAATTAAATGCCAGCCCTCCCCATTCAAATATTCATCAAGCCTTCCCTTAACTCTCTTTGCTATATCCTCCAAGTCTGAAGGCAACTCATTCCAAATGCCAATCACTATGTTAGAAAAATGAAAATGTCTTAGATGAAGACAACTCCTACCTGGCCAAAATCTATATTTGTGTCCCCTAGTCCTACCGTTCTTGCCACTATATACAAAAGAACAATTGATGCAGCAACATACACTTAACAATCTTAAACACATCAATCAGATCCCCTCTAACACTTCTTTTTTTTCAAGAGAAAACAATTTCAGAGATCTCAACCTGTATTCTTATGACAATCTTTCCATCTTATATATCATCCTAGCAGTCCTCCTCTGAACCCTTTCCAAGAATTCAATGTCCTTCCTAAGGTACGAAGCTCAAGACTGAACACAATACTCCAAATGAGGTCTAACCAGACCTATACAATGAAATTATAATCTCTTTGTAACTGTATTCACTACTTCTCTAGATACAGTCTTAAATCCTTTTTGCTCTATCTTAAGTAAAAGCACTCTGATTGTTTGGCTTATGAGACTGATCAACTAGAAGATCTGTGACAGATTTATTATTATATATTTATTTTAATATCGATGTTTGCTTGAAATAAATTTATATTTACAGGTGTACATAACTTATACTGTTAAATATGTATTGCAAAACTCCCACCTATTCTCTAAAGTTGTAGAAGATTCTCGAGAGTAAGAATCAACAATATATATGTGTGTGTGCGTAAACTCTAGTGTAGCGTGTTAGTATTGTTACATAATCTGAATTTTCTAGAAACTCTCCATGTGCCTATAAATATAACCAACACAACATGCCAAAAAAGAGAGTATCTATTATTAGTTTGCTACAGTCAGTATGCTATACACTTCAGAGGCTATAACTGTGATTGTTATAACACTTATCAATTGGAAAACTTCAGATATTTGACCAGGAGCATTTACAAAGTTCAAACATTACAATTCATTTAACTTCAGTGGATTCTCATCGGACATTAGTATTTTTACTAAAACATTATATAACTTCACGGTGGAAAACTCTGTGTGTGTGGCTGGTGAATAATGAAGGACAAAGCTGGTTAGCTTCCCATTAAGTGAATTGTACCTACATCAACTCATACTTAACTTGCTCATCGTGAACCCTCAATAAGATGTTGAAGAAGTACTAGACTAGAAAGACTTTATATTGCTTGTAAGTTTGTAAATTTTTTTTAACATAAGTCATTGTGTGTAATAACTATTTGTAATAACTGTTATTGTAAATTGTATTGTTGTTTGTATATTAAAACATATTTGTGTTAAAAAAGAAAACTGTGTGTATCAATCTTGTTAGCAAATATCATAAATTGGAGATATATCAGCATATATTTAAATACTAAATCCAAAGTACAATTTAACTACTAAATCCAAAGTACAATTTAACTACTAAATTTGAAATATCATTTAACTCAATTTCAGGCTATTTGAAATTCTAATATGTAACACACCAAAATCCTTTTCTCTTATAACACTGATAGGGTTATTTCCATGAACATTATAATCTAAATTATGATTATCTATATGCATTATCTTAAAATTTATTGTAACTAAATTCTGCCTGCCATTTATTTGCTCAACTCATCAAATAATCTAAATCTTTTCATAAAGCAGCAGGATCCTTCTCACAGCCAGCAACACCCATGACTTCAATATCAGGAAGTTTAGGTAATTTATTGAGCTTTCTTTCATCCATATCATTGATATAAGTTAAAAAAGGGCAAAGGTCCTAATATTGAGATCTGAGGTACCCCACTTTTGACATTAATCCAGTTGGACCAAACTCTGTTTATAACAACCCTCTGCTTTCTTCCATACAACCAATTAGCCAACTTATCATTAACATCTATACAAAATTTTAACAGGCCTTTTATGTAGCACCTTGTCAAATTCTTTCTCAAAATCCAGATACACCAAATCCAAACTCCTTTTATCATGTATATAAGCAGTAAACTCTTCAACAAACACTCAAAGACTAATAAGGCAAGATTTCACCCTAGTGAAACCATGTTGACTATTCAACAAAATCTTAAACTTTGTGAAATGACTTTGCAAAGCCTCTTTTATCAGACTTTCAAAACATTTTCCCATCACTGATGTAAAAATACTAAGTCTATAATTATTGGGGCAATTTTTATCACCAATGTTAACCAATTTTCAATCTTCTAGGACTTACCCAATATTCTAGGACATGCAAAAAATAGTAGCATGTAGCTCACATATCCATTCCTTAACCTACTTAAAAACCCTTGAGAAAATATTATCTGGCCAAGGAGCCTTATCATTCTTTAATACTTCCCAACATTTTCTTAAGAAATTCAAAATTAATGTGGTCATCTTGTTTGATTTTGTTTCTGTCTAGCAACTATTCAGGATGAAAAATATTGTTTAAATCTTCATAGGTAAAAAACTGAATAAAAAAAATGAAGGATTTAAAAAACCAATCACC